ACCGAGGGAGCGTGACGGACACCGGTTGAAGCTCTGTGAGGTTGGGTGGGGGTGGAAGGTGGGAGTGTAAACCGCCACTCAGTGAATCACAGGGGCTTGATTGGCAGGCGACTGGATGAATGCTTCTGAGCAAATTTCGGTCTCCACCTCTGCATCCTGAGAGGGTTAAGTGTGACAAAAACAAAATTCCCATGCACTCCACCTTCCACTTTTTTTTCCTCTTAAAGGAAAAATTGGACATTTTAGGATAAATTACTTTCTTGCTGAGAGTTAGGGGAGAAGATTCACATGGTTTTATAGTAAGTGTGAAGCTATAGCAGCAGCTGACCAACTAACTCCCTTAGCACAGATCACACGTTATTAAGTGCTGTGTATATTCTGAGATGTAATTTAGTTGCATAGCTAACGGTACAAAAAATATGTAGAGAGAGATATTTTAAAGAATCCTAGAGATGTGTCTTGTCTATCTGGAGTATTACAGTATAGTAGTATAATGGAGAATTTGTTATGTCAAAAAAACAAAGCTAAATCCAGTATTTTCACTGATCCCTTACATTACAATGAAAGACAGAGGTTGTGGATCTCAGCTTCACCCCATGCAAACATTTTAAAAGTCTGGGTAGAGACTGAACATGTATTAATTTGTATAAACTATCTTTGGAGATGCTTTTTACAACTGAAATAAAAAAAAAATTCAATTCAATTTTAACTTTCTTTTCCATCCTATTTACCTGCCCAAGGTTATGTGACCCAATCGCCAAGTGATGTATCGAGGTCACAAATATTGAGTGGAAGCTGCTAGTCTGTGTCCAAAGTAAACAAAGACTAGCGATTGATTAGAAACTCTCTACAAAAGCAGAAGTGTAAAGAAACAACGGTTCTGTTTTATAACCTGTAACGTATCAATTTTCTTGGCCAAGCACCTTGAGCCACATATATACATAAACTCTGATTTTTATTTTTTCTTTAGTGTTCACTGATGAATTTTATGATGAGAAAATGAACTGCAATCGATGGACCTCCAGGTGCTGGTTGGTCAGTTGTGCTCTGGCTGTTTCTCCAGCTCGAGTCTTCGTGCTAAGCGAGGTTATCCAGCTGTGTGGAGCAAATCCTCTCACCAAACTCTTGACAAGAAAGAAAAAAACTGTAGCTACCTCCTAAAATGTCTGTTCCTTTTAAGTGCACCTGTTGAAAACGGACTCGCAGTTCCGAGTCTTCCTGATCTTTGGAAAATCTGAGCAGCTCAGCAGAAATGCAGTCGCTTCAGGATTTTTCCGTCTATCCTACCGGCAATAAACCTCTATGTCTAAACCACTTTAAAGCAGATATGCAGACAGTTATTAAAATCCCGCTTTACATGACAGTTCACCTCACTGGAGTGCACAGATGAGCGTTCCTGTCTGTGCCTCTGACACTCACCAGCTCCCTGTGACTTCAGCTTTGTGTTGTCTGGTATCGTATTAGAGCAAGACGTGTTGTGTTGTATTTGCATGGCACAGAGTTAAAACATGGATCAGTAATGAGGTGCTTCCACCCACATCTTCTGTTAACAGTCAGGTTTGTCTTGTGTTTTTAATGGGATTGAACCATAGCACACTCGTCAGACATCTGTTACCGTCCATCCGTCTCCTGCATGTACGTCCCTGTCAAACTTGCATCAGTGCGTCTGTGCCATTAACTGGCTTCCTTTCTGTAGTGTAACCAGCTGCCTTATTGCTGTTCACTGTTTACAAAACCTCACTTACTGTAACTGCTGCTAGTAGCACAACAGATTGAACGTTGACTCCGTCCCTTGCTGTTGCCAATACCCTCTTTGCTTCAATCCTGCCGAGTGCCCCTCAAAACTGTTACCCACAGCTGTTAAGTAAAACACTCCTAAAACAAGCTGGCAAGGTTAAGGGAGAAGTCCATATGTAGCTTTCTGGGTTGCAATTGTAGTGACGCGAGTTAGTGCACATCTGTCCTGTTTCCTAGCTGTTAGCTGTACATCCCTCTGAAAACTCAAATAAAACAAACAAAAAAAAAAACACCTTTAATCCACCTCGTGTTGTTTAATTTTTACTGTACTTGTTGTTGGATGTAGTGCTGCAACTGTGCTATTTGATTTCTGTCAAACATCAAGGCTGTGGAGAATCAAGTGTAAACAGCCAAAATGTCTGGTTTTATATTGACTAAGAGATTTGGAAACTATTTAAAGCTACATTTTATTTTGGAAACTAATCCATTTTAGAGGTTGGTTAGATGGTTCAGACGTTTACTGAACATGCTGCCATCATTTGTTCTACTTTTCCTTTACGTGGTGTGACAACAGATTTTTTTCTTTATTTAAGTTTTCATTTAACATCTGGAAGCTGTTGTATTTACAGTTATATATAGCAGATACAGATGTACTACATCAGTCATGTGCATTTCTTTAATTTTAGAGTTATAAAAAAAAACTCAAAACACTCTCACAACTGTTCAGTTTTGTATGGGGAAAACTGAAAAGTTAAAACTGTTACAAGGTAGTTAGGTTTGTCCAACCTTCACCTCCTTTAATTATTAACCTTAATCTTTTTATCAGCCGCTTCCAGTAATCAGCACAGTATTGGCTTGTTAAAACATGTAAATCAAGAGTAGCAGTTGCTAAACATCACAGCTGAATAATAAGAATGCTTGCCAAGTGGTACGTCCTGCACCTTTGTATCAAAATGGTGACTTAAAAACCGTTGAGCACATTTATCATCAACAGAAACTATGCCTGACCATGACGAACGAATACACAATAACTGATGGTTACGGTTCAAATGCAAATCGTTGTTTGTAACTCGTTAACGCTTCAGTTCAAGTCCAGTACCAGACGTCTACAGCTCCATCAGAGCTACGATGTCATCGATGCGAGATGTCTTCCTGTCAGTGTTGGTGGATCCGAATGCCTTCTCCATCAGGTCCTGTTTCTTCCTCTGGATCTTCACCATATTCTCCTCCACTGAATCCTTCACAATGAACTGCAGCAAAAAAACACAAACATGGTAACATGATTAGTTCTCTAGTAATCTAGCATCTTTTTTTTAATTTAAAAATAAACAAAAATCACCAATTAGAAAAAAGCAAAATATGTCTTTCCAATACTATTAATAGTGAGAGCCAAATTACTGACCTTAGTGACTACAACTTTTCTCTTCTGGCCCAAACGGTGGCAGCGATCAATGCACTGCTCTTCAGTAGCTGGGTTCCATGCCTAAGACACAAACGCAGAGAGAGAGAGTTCACGGTAACTGAAAATATGCAATATTTATTCCTGAAAACCTTCTATGACAAGATAGATTTCGAGATTTCATTCTTAGAGATCGTCTTTGTCATCCTTGTGCACAAACATCTAACGGGATGTAACGAATGCTGAGTAGTGGTGCACTCTGATGCCATTTTGACTTGTCATGCAACCCCCATGACATTGCTAGCTACATTGGTGCAACCAATGCAGCTTGCTGGGCTAGGCTGGAGGCACAAATGTGCAAGTAGGTCAGCCTGTGAAACATTAATGCAGCCACAGGGATTCCCTGCTGCAACAGCTGAAAAAGATCAGATGTTCTGCAGAAAATCTACCATCACTTTATTTCAGTTAACTAATGATTTTTTTAAGCAGCAGAACTGAATAAACTTCAGTGAGTCAAGCATCCATCCGGTGTGAATATAGATGATTGTGGCACAGTGTTGGCATCTGCACAAGCAATGACCAGTGAGCATTACCTCAACATTATCCTTAGGTGGTAAAGCAAGCCAGATCCTGATGCATACCAGTTCTATCAGTTTAGTTATGAGATAAGAGCCCAAGTCCTGACCTAGTCACACAGCCATGTATGGCATTTGTGTTGTTTTCTTTTTTCCTTTCATTTTTTTAATGATTAAAAAAAGATTAACAAACTTTATTTAATGTTCAGAGACCTGTTCCTCGCCTATTCCAGTCAGTCTACCTCCACTACATACACCAAACAAAATCTCAATCTTTGATAACATGATTCCTAGATGTTGTCAATTTGTTACATAACTTAGTCTTTGGCTACCAACCTAAGTATGCTGTCTCATGCATATAACCATGTGGTTGAATGTCTGCTTCCACCAGGCTTTGTACTTACGGGGTCCATGAGAAAAACGTGAGAGGCAGCGGTCAAGTTAAGCCCCACTCCTCCGGCTTTGAGTGACAGGAGCATGATGGTAGGGCTGTCGGCCGCTGAGCTCTGAAACTCCTGGATGACTTGAGTCCTTTTCTTCTGGGTCATGGTGCCGTCCAAACGCACAAAACTGAAGCCATGCTCTCTGGTGAGGAGGAAACACTTCCATTATGACCAATCAAATAAAATATTTAATACAATCAATTACATTTACACCACAGTCTGTATGTTTTCAGTGCTAGTTTCTGTCTTGTAGCAGATAAATCAATAGGCTTTAAAGCAATCATTAATAATAGTAAAGGTAAATAAAAAACGATGACTGAAATGATTAGCCAATTTTACTGAAATAGAAGACACATTTAGAGCTTCCTTCATAAATTTTATTTATTGCACTGTATTTTTCCCTGGTCATCAAAGCCAGAGCTGTTCCTACTCCTTTTTGTTTTGGTTGCTCCCTTTAGGGGTCGCCACAGCAGATCATCTGCCTCATTTTCATCCTACCCCAGCATCCTCTTCTGTCACACCAACCAACCACCACCAACTTCCTTTTTTCTTCCTGCTTCCATATCCATCATCCTTTGTTTAATATATCCACTAACCCTCCACTAAGCTACATGTCCAAAGTATCTGAACTGTACTTCTCTAACTTTGTCTCCAAACTGCTCTCATAGAACCATTTCTTGTTCATTATGGTCACTGCCAATGAAAATCTTGGCATTTTTAGCTCAGCCTACTGCTTTTTGTTAGTACCAATGTCTCCAAACCATACATTAAAGCATGTCTCACTACTGTTTTCACTCTTACACTCTCTTATGAGCAGTGCGTTGATGTGGAGGGTTGATCCCAGGTATTTAAACTAATCCATCTTTACTACCTCTGCTCCTTGCATCTTCACCATTCCTCCAGCCTCCCTCTAATACGAGAATACGAACATGTATTCTGTTTTGCTTCCACTGACTTTCAATCCACCAGCTACCTGCTCTCACTTAAGATCCCAATGTCCAAACATCATAGTCCACGGATACTCCCGCCTGATCTCATCTGTCAACCTGCTCATCACCAAACAAACAAGATTGGGCTCAGTGCTGATCCCTGATGTAAGCCCCTCTCCAACGTAATCCCATCTGTCACTCATACTGCATACGTCACCACTGTCTTGCCGTCCTCCATCAAAGCCACAGCAATCACTGCAAATCCTGAATCTATGATCTTAGTGTTGTTTACCTGAGTGGAGTCTCCAGGATGGTGAGGAAGCGTGTAAACTGAGAGATGACCAAACACTTTATGCTGCTGTCTTTAGATCGCAACCTGAGCAGATTTCCCATGAGTGCTTGCACCTGCAAACACACAGATTTTCACATGGCACAGAACAAACCCATTTTCCACTCCTGCCAAATCAAAACCGTGGAGCTACCTGCTTGCTTTAAGTTTTTGGCACCACCTCAGCTAAAGTTGTGAAAGAGAACTAATCTGCTCTATTATATACAAAATATCAGACCACTGATTGCTTAGAGATTAGCAGTCACTTGAGTCTCCATGTGTGCACCCTGGGCTTAATGACACAAGGTGTGATGAACAACCACCTGCTGAGAATCAGAAAAACCTTAACCTTGGTTATATTCCAGTGTTTGTGTTCATGTTCTGTTTGATATAAAAGTACCCAGTACCAAAAGCAAGCGAAGACTAGCTGAAGCTTTACCACGTGTTGAAAATTAAGCTTAAGGGATGGCTCCTGTTTTAGGGTCTACTGAGTGCGTTTGTTATTTTCTCCTACTTAATTTGAGTGAAGTGAGTACCTTTGAGCTTGTCCTCCACCTCTCAGGCTTTGTAATATTCTCTTCTTCCATTTCTTCTTGTGGAAACTCCACCAGTTCACTGGTCTTGATTTCACCTCGACACAGGGGACAGTGCGCCACCTCCTGTGCCAACATATGGAGCATCAGCAAAGAGAGAAATATGAATTTAAATTAAACTGAATATGTATTTGTTTTATGTAGAATGACAGCTAATTTACAAATGCCTGATGCACATATACCTGTCCTGAAGTGCTGATGACCTGTGCGATGCATGGCCGGCAGTATACGTGGGCGCAGTGTGTAATGACGGGCAGACGGACCGAGTCCAGACACACGGAGCACTCCTCATCAGAGCCGCTGGCCAGCACCAACCGCAGCTTTTCTATGAGACGCTCCCGCAGCTCTGCTGGTGTTGCTGCAGCACCTAAAGCCAGAAAGTGATGAGGAGGGAAAGAAGTAATCAAACGAAGTAATTGGAAAAAGGAGAAACATTTCTAATGTTTGTATTAATACAAGTACTTGTTTGACTGATTATCTCAGAACAGGTAGTGTTAAGAAAAAGGTTTTACCAGCAAAGTCAACTGTTTGCCTAAAGTGTCTTTATATTTGAACTCAACTCAAGATAGCTCAAGATAGCAGCAGAACAAAGTAAAAAACATCCTAATTATCAAGCAAAAACAACAAAATCCCCACTAATGAGTTTCCTCATTGATAAGGTTGATCATCGAGTGTTTTCAAAAGTTTTGATCTCGTTAATCCACAAATTTCAGATTTTACCTAAATCTGAGGACATCTTTGCCAGCAGGTCAGGGTGGCAGCAGTGCTGACGGAGCCTCATGAGAATGGCAAGCACATCAGCATAATTCCTCAAGACTGTACCTTCAGCTACATATCTGCAAAAATGAACGTAAAATCGTATTTTATTATAACATTTGACATGAATGGATGAATCAAGAGTCACATGTCCCGTCAATCTCACACAGGTACTTTCTGTCTTAGCAAAAACACTCGTCACTCGCAAGCATGCTTGCGCAAGTACACTGACACGCTCCACACGTACCTGCCAATGGTGTTTTTTCCTTCAGTGCGTGCCAACTCGTACTCCTCCCTCTCTGGTTGGCTGAGCTCTACCTGCTCCACGTAGACTTTCTTCTCAGGCAGTGACACCAGAGGCCGCCCGTTCACCTCACTGTTTTTTGTCCGTCTCAGGGTGATGCACTTCACTAGTGTCTGAAGGTGTCTGCACACAGTAGCAAGTATCACAGACTAATACTGTAAGGTGTCTGATTATTAATAGTACTTTATAATAAATTCTTTAAAAAAAAAAAACTTTTATCATACCCTCACACAAAATGCGGGGCATGATCTGCGGTGCCACTGCAGGGGAGGCGGCGCACCTGCATGGCAACCGCAATTACGCCTAGCCGGCTTAAAGTCTGTGCTGACTGACTGTTGTTGGTATATGTCCAGCAGTGAGCTGCAGAGCTATAGTAAAAGTATGCTGAAAAGCATGAACGAGTGGTCAGGTCTGTAGTGGATCTTTCACAGTAACGTGAAAGTGATTCTGGCAAAGTGATTTTGATTAAAAACTTGGATACGAGGCTCTCTGTACAAGAGATTAGACCCTGGAGCTTTAAGCTTTTGTTTGGACAAAGAAAAACTTTAAAAGTCAAGAAATGCAACAATGAGCAAGGAGTAGGGAACACAAACAATATTAAAATTAAAGTAAGGAGACACAAGCAAAGCAAATAGGCTTTAAACAGAAAGATTATTGCTACTCTTAAGTGAATGGCACCCTCTGCAGGATTGATGATGCGGTGCTGCAGTCTAGAAGTTAAAGGATCTCTGAGCACTCACTGCAGGCCGGTCCTGTCTCCTTGTGTAACGGGTCTCTGGATCACTCTGTTCCACCACTCTCTCGTATCAAAGGGCTTCAGACCCAGGAAGGCCACCAGCATCCACAGATCCCTCACACTGTTCTGGATGGGAGTACCTGAAGAGAAGGAGGAAGAGGAATGAGTGTGCCTGTTTACTACATATTCAACAAACATAATGGTGTGCCGTGATGTCGTCGAGGATTTGTTTATTTAGGTATTTACAGTTGTGGTATTAAGATCTATCAAACCAATATCATTCTGTGATGTAACAGAAATTACCATAATTTCTGTTATTTTCATTTTGTAGATGAAGACGCTAATGAAACAGCACAGAATGGTCACAATTATGGTATTAGTTTAGAGCTGTCTACTGTGCCAGTCTACATAAATACACATTAAAATAAATGCATTGCAAATAAATGCAAGTAGACACTTTAAAAACTGGTTTAACAAAGTTTATATTTTTTATGAGTCTGAAACAGTTTATCTTCAAATGTTATACCTATAACAAATTTACAGAAAATATAAAATATTTTAAAACTTGTATATCCTTGAGTTTCAATTCAGACTTTTAAATGACCAGTAGAAACCCTGCCATACCATCGCTGTCATCTATTGAAATCTGTGTGTGTGTATTTAGACATGGGATACCTGAAAGAATCCAGCGTCTCTGAGCTTTCAGGTCAAGTACAGCTTTACTCATCTGTGCATTTGGGTTTCTTATGATGTGTCCCTCATCTAGCACAACCCTCAGCCAGCTGATCCCATGGAGGGGACTCTTATTCTGAAAGGAAATCATTATAGTACATTAGGGATCTGCTAAGAGAAAAATCCAGTCCAGTTACTTATGAATTATTTTTCTGGATTATCTTCAGTTTTAATTTGTGTGAATATTTCAGTCCACACTGCAACACATTTGTGTATATACTCACCCCAAAATCAGAAGAGAGGACATTGTACGTGGTGATCACTACATCCTGAGAGGACAGAAACTTTTTACTCCTGTTTCTCTCTGGACCGTAATACAAATACACATTCAGCTTCACATTAGGGTCCACATGCTGCTCAAACTGGTCCTGCATAAAAGAAGAGAGGAAAATGATGAAAAAAAAACTACACATTGCTTAACTTTAATTGTAGCCAATTGTTATGGCATGCAAAAATACAGTTCTTTCAAAGTGTGCCTTCTTACCAGCCAGTTACTGAGCACAGAGAGGGGGCAGATGATGAGAGTTGTTCTTGCTTTTAAGTCATCTGTGCTTTCAGCGATGGAGGATTCAGCACCTGCACATTAAAAAAAAAAGAAGCCCAAATCAAATATTAAATGACTGTCCAAGTTCTATTTCTTTAAACAGAAATATAAACATAAAACACTCAATAAAAATGCACTGTTGGAACTCACTCTGCGTGAGACTGGACTTCTTGTCTGTTTTCTTCTTCTTTGAGCCTGTGCCAGATGTTGAGCCACTCAGAGCTGCAGCAAAGTCCAGATCCTCAAACAACACCGATCCCTCTGCACCAAGAGCATACAAGTCAATAATTTTACTCACAGAAAATGATTATTAAGAGTGTTTAGAAGCAAAACAAGAAATCAGTTCAGTGCAATCATACATCTACTGTCTCATCAGTAAATGGACTGGTTCTTTTAAAGCATTTCTCTACTCTATCCGAGCACTCACAGTTATACAACATGCCTCATTCGCCCATTCATTCTACCCAAGTTCTTTCTATCGTACATTCACACTCATTGCACAGATACACATACACTGTCTGTAAATCTGTGCATCTTGGAGTTCAGTATCTACCCCAAGGATAATTTGGCATGCAGACTGGAGCAGCCATAGAGCGAACCACCAACTTTCCAATTAGCAGATGATGTTCTATACCTCCTGAGCCACATCACAAGTACACAGTTCTACAGGTTACAGTTATACCTTTGCTTGGTTTTCTCTTGGTTGCTTTCATCTTCTCTTTGCTCTTACCTGTGCACAGGTCAGGTTAAGGTTAAGTCAGGTTAAAAATGCAAGTAAGTCACAAATGCACAAACAAAAGTTTTAAAATAAACACGTGGAGATGACAATTCTTACTTTTCTCTGACTTATCTGCTGCCTTCACTGCATGTGGTTCATCAACACAGATCACCTCCTCCTGGGTACTGATTCATACAGGGGAATTGGGTCATGAGCTAACACAGAATATAATAGTGCAGAAAATAGATTCCCAATTCCAAAAAGGTTGTGACACTGTGTAAAATGTATATAAAAACAGAATGCAATGACTTGCAAATCTCTGGAAAAGCAAGTGGTACTAAAAAGAAAGCTGGGGGAATATTTAGCAGCTAATTATGTTAATTAGCAAAACATCAGTAACATGACTGGGCATAAAAAGAGCATCTTAGGGAGGCAGAGGGTCACCAATCTGCAAAAACTGTCTACAAATTGTGGAACAACTTCAAAATAGTGTTCCTCAATGCAAAATTGTGAAGACTTTAAATACCTTACTATCTGCAGTACATAATATCATCAAAAAATTCAGAGAATCTGGAGAAATCTCTGTGCACAGGCTAAAAATCGTTATTGAAGTCTGTGATCTTTGGGTCCTCAGCTGGCACTGCATTAAAACAGACATTATTTTGCCACTAAAATCAATGCATGGACTTGGGTAAGATTTAGTGCCTGTGGAATTGGAAGCGTGCACATTGGGAAAGGCATCATTAATTTGAAAGGTGTATGGATGTTTACAGTTTTGTAGAGGGGATGCTCCACAGTGGTAA